CAACACGTCCACCTTCTCCATCTGGCGCTTGTAGCCAGTGTAGAAGAAGCTTCAACCATTTTTATGTATATACTTGTGCCCGTATGACCCAGCACCCCGCAGCGTTGTCAAGCTGGATAATGGCCTCGCGAAGTCTAAGTCTCGGCCACTTTGAGCTGCAACCAAGTCTTGAGTTGGCCCCTGACACATTTCATCAACATGGCGAAGTCGATGCTGCCAGCAAGCTTTGAGCCCGTTTTCTCAAATTCGATAAAGGCTTCTTCGGGGTTGAGTGGTTGGGTGAGGATTCCACCTTTCTTCACTCGAATCGGTTGTTTGACGCCGGCTCGAATGGATCAATCCCGTTTGCCTCCTTCACGTGTTTGATCAAGGCTAATGGCCTTTGTTTCACCAAGGAAGCCAACAAAGCGTAAAAAAAGCTCCCTCGCCTATGGACTCGTCAGGATGATCTCGTATCTCCTCTAAGCGGTCAGTGAAGTTGGGGTCGAGTCTAGGCAAGTTCCTCCTCCTGCGCTGCGGGTCGAAATTGTTGGGAGCACCCTGAACGATCAATCCTCACCCCACTCTTCTTTGCCAGAAAAACGGGCTACCAGACTGGCAGACTCAGCCGCCTGAAGCATCCTCGTAGCCAGCTCCTGACCATCGATGGCTCCTCCAGCACCAGGAGATCCAAGAGATCAGCTTTGACACCTATGTTGATCAATGCATGTATGGCTTGAAGATCCCCAACAACGCTGGTCATGAAGAGTTAGCTCCCAAACCCACATGTTTCTGCACGACCAAGGCAAGTTTGGCACGCTTGACATGGTCATGTGACGGACTACTACTACAACAACAACAACAACTACTACTACTACTACTACTATCATAGTACTACTTTCATACTACTAGCACTATCATACTACTACTACTATCATACTACTACTACCACCACCACCACCACTACTACTACTACTACTATCATACTACTACTACTATCATACTACTACTACTATCATACTACTACTACTACTATCATACTACTACTACTACTACTACCACTACTACGATCATACTACTACTACTACTACTACTACTACTACTACTATTATACTACTACTACTACTACTACTCCTACTATTATACTACTACTACTACTATTATACTACTACTACTATTATACTACTACTATTATACTACTACTACTACTACTACTATTACTACTACTACTATTATACTACTACTACTGCTATTACTACTACTACTACTATTATTATACTACTACTACTACTACCACCACGACGACGACCACGACCACGACCACGACCACGACCACGACCACGACCACGACCACGACCACGAC